AATTAACTCAGTTTTCCCGGATCCTGAAGGTCCCACTATCGCCATAAAAATTCTTGTCGAAGTATCAATCACTTTATTCATATTCTTGGGTTTGGTAGTACGTAACCAACCAAGCCTGATAAAATCGAGAACCAAACTGACGTTTCTTCGCAACTTAATTTAGTGAAAGAAAGTTTGAGAATGCAGAAAGTTAGTAAAATTAGAATTACTACCATTTGCGCAACAAAAACTACTTCAGACCTTGGCAAAGTTACATTGTTACAAAACTTCCATGATTTTTTTTCACTGTTTGTCTCGTTATAAACAAACTCTGTTACTAATGTTGCGTCAGGTTCATCTACTGCTGTTGTTGCTTCTGACATTTGAGAAACTATTTATTCTACAGACTGCGTTAGACTTTTTCTCTCTGCGAATGAAGCTTGTAAAAAATTAAATTACTTTTGAGAACAGTAAAAAATTTCATAACGTGTGAAATCTCTATCATTTATGTCATGCATTTCTAAAACAAAGTTTGCTGGGATATTTGCGGTTTTTTTGTAGTACATTATTTTCTTCACAGTATCCTCTTTCACAATCGTCTTAATCTCATCTGGCAATTCACTGCTGTTTAGATCCATCTGAACTCCTGGCTGACGTTTGGGTACTAAGACTAGTTCGGGAAGACATACTCCTCGCTTGCTGGCTAACATTTCTGATAAACTTGAATCTCTGGAAGTATACAAATTGATCAATAACTGGAAAAAACCTCTTCAACGTAGACAACTCTTCTTCGGAAATTATTATTTGCTCCTTCCTCTGAACAATTTGGCCACTGCAATCAATACGCTCTATTCTCGTTAATGAAATTTTAATATCACCCTCTGGAGTCATCCACGCACAAAGCATTGAATTTTGTGATAGGTATGTCTCCACTTTCGCTGATCTCTCGCTGTTGTTCATTTTTCAACCAATCATAAAAAACCTTGGTTTTCTTCAAGGCACAATGATTCCTGGAGTTGTAATGTGGAATATGTTTATTGCAACTTGGATAATTTTTAAAATATAAGTTTTCAACCCGAGGACAGCCCAAATCATCTAGGTTTTCAATCTTTCGGTCCAAGTACTTGGCCAAAAATTCTGTCTTTTCTTTTCCTTTAGCGTAAAAAACGGCACCAGGATTTCTCAGCACAAAACTCTGAAGTATTTGATTCAAGTTTATATAAAGATAATCACCGTTTTCCCAATGGAGACCGTGTAAATAATTAGTTAACCAGTTGTAAGCTTTTTGTTCAAGCTTTGGTAGTATATTGAAATTCACTGGAGGTAGGAAAATGAGTCGATCGCTGTAGTCTGAAGTTGTTATTGCTAATTCTTTAACCACAAAGGCGTTTTTCTTGTAACGAAAGCCTTCCACGTCAAGCACAACTGATCTCTCGCCTAGCATTCTAGTAAATGATAAACTTCTGGTTTTTTCAACTTAATGAAAAGGCAGAACGCTATTCCACTCAAATGTCCCAATAAGCTGTTGTTACAGTTCCAGGGCAACATGTAACAGTACGTGGGACCCTGTTGATAAAATTCGTGTATAGATCCGGCCGCATCGTGCAAAATAGCGTGCAATCGTAAAATTTTGGAATTTTTCAAATATTTGTCCAAGGAAGAGTTATCAATACCAATCAAGCCACCATAAGGTCTCAACTTAATTAAAATGTCGTAGTTAAGGTTATCAGAACTAACAAAAAACAGAGAACATGCAGCTAGAAAATAGTTGCGTCGGTTAGAATTATCAGGATAAGTTTGTTTCAAAGACGTATAAATTTCGTGAATTATTTTCAAATCAATAGGAGTTACTCTGCTTTTTTGCAATTTCATTATTTATTTTTTCCAACACCTCTCCAACCTGCTGAATTTCAAGCCAGTGGAAATAAAAGTGACCTTGCAAATACCATTTAGACTCATTAAGATAACGGTGGTAAATAATTAAATAAACCACCGGAAGTTTTTTGTATTTTGATAGCTTGTTGAAACATAGACGGATTTTTCTCTCCAAGTCTTTATCAACCCATAATGAGTTAAAGTCAAACGAATAGTCGAAAACGTTTTCATAATCAGCAATATTCAAATCGCTCACAGTGCCATACTTTTGTTTTGTAGAAATGCACCAAGAGATTTGTTGAAGCTCACTCAAATAAAATTGTTCTTTGAAAATCAACTCGTATTCTTTCTTTGAAATTTCCTTTGCCCTTTCGAGGAAGACGACGTAGCGTTCATTACATAATTTGAAAAATGAATTTTTTTCTGCGGTTGAAAACACTCTTAATTGTAAATGTTCATTATCAATATCTTCAGTACACCAAGTTCCCTCTAATTTCATTTTTCTTATTTCAAAATTTGACAATTTTATCATTTGGTATATTTTGCCCAGAAACGGCCGCCGCCTTTTGAGAGTAATTTCAATTTACTGCCTTTTCACCATAAAATTTAGGTCAAGTTAAGGAATTAGTTTACTGCTGCCAACAGTTAAGCTACGCTGCCAAAATGGCCGGCGAATTTTTATTATATACCATAAAAGTCAATTCCCCGTTCACTAACAAATTTCAACTAGGTCGAAAGTTCATTTACCCTAAACAAGCATAACAATTAATATGATTCATATAATTAATCAGGACCAATAATTGGGACCCCAAAATTTGGAATTAGAAAGATTTTTGTATCGTGTCCCTTGTTGTTAAGCTAAACTTAGCAAGATCCTAAGTAGGGGGTCTTCTGCTTTTTGGGTGGAAAATCTCTTTCGTTTACAAAATCCTAGGATGAGGGTCCTCCAAAAAATTAAGGACCCCTTTCCTAGGATTTTGCTTTACGTGAGGACCCCCCCCTTAGGAAGGACCCCCCCCTTAGGATCCGGGACACGATACAATACTACTAATGTTACAACTGCACTAAAAGTAACCACCTTTAGTGCAGGCGTAGCTGATGTCCTATTAACCTCCCATAGTATCAATTAGTTAGCCAACCATTCCTAACTATTTTGTTAAACTATTTTGTACAGTTTAACAGAAAAACAATGAGGTACACTGAGTATCAATAATCGAACGGGTATCAGTCATTACTCATTTTCAATGAGCTATTAAAAAGGGTTTCTTCTGTACCTTTTGATTAAATTTTCCTTCTATTTCAAGCAGGAGTAAGAAGCTGAAAGTCGAGCACTGCTTATCGCTGAACTCAAAAAGTCAATAGTTTTTTTTGGTTTTCTGGAGTTTTGACTTTTGGATTTACTGCCACAAATAATCATGAGCGCAGATTACTTCTCATCAGCACAAGCCAGTGCAAAAAACTGACATTTAAGCGGAAATTATAAATAATACAAAAGATAATTTTGGTAAACCGCAAGTTCACATTGAGCCAGACGCCAACATGCTTTTCGCAGAGACAAGAAAACACGGCAAAAAAGAGCTCTCAAAATTGCTTGAGAAAAAAATTTTACAAAAATTAACTCAAGATTTAATTTTAAAAAAATAATAAACAAGATAGCCCAAAAAACTACAGAAACCTCCACTCACACTGATTCAGGAAAAAACCAAGGCAACAGACAGTTGGAAAAGAGTCAATGAACGCAAAGGAACACAACAAAATATTGACTTGTTTTTTTATTTTCGAATAAACTTTCGAACTTCAAAGAGAAAAGTAGATAAACTTAAAATTTGAATTCCTAGAACAATTTATGATTCAAACCTCTTTGACAAAACTAACCCAAATTAAGACCCAGAGGCAAAGCTTCGAGAACACGATAAAAAGTAGCTCTAGAAAATGCACTAAGAAAAACTAGAAATAAGCCTCGAATTAGCAAAAATTAGGGTAGGCCTAGGATTCGATCTGCGGACCATTGCAATCAAGAGACTTTGAGTCTCACACACTAACCACTCATGATTAACAACTGAAAAACACTAGACAAGAATAAAGCAGCTACATATGCTAATAACTAGCCAATGCGATTCAGCAAAAATGGCATCAAATGCAAATAGACTCAATTTTGCATGTAATAATTTGCAATATAACAAACTGAAGGCATCCACACTAACTTTGCATGTACCAAATTGCAAAGCATAAAACCACATTATGTATAAATTATGCATTTCCAAAAATGGCGATATATATTGAGTTAGAAAATTTCTGAAATCGAGTTGTTTTTATCATCGTTACGTTGTTTTAAACAAATAGTTTTTTTTTCGGTTCATTTGATGATTTAAAAATGCACCAACTGTGTTAACCTATAATTATGTGTCAAAGTCTTTCGAATGTCAAAGCACATGCTATCAAACGCTGTAAAGGTGCCCCAAAAGTGGCACTAATATTTGCAAATTAGTTTAGAAAAAAAAGAATGTTCTTAATAATACACTAGGCTGACGCTAGTGTAAAAACTAATCCAATAAGAAAATTTTTTATTTCGCTTTGAAATCTGAAATTTAAATTCCAGTCGAAACTAGAATTCGATCACGTTTTCCGTGACCATTAAACTTTTGCTGCTCGATAGTGGGGCTTGCCTTTTGCCTTCTAGTGCTAGTTTGAATTGCATATTATTTCATTTGACAGGTACTTTACTAAAAGTCCTATAGCGGGCATATTTTAGCGTGTGTTGTGTCGCATATGTTGTGTCACAAATCGTTTGTAACTTATTTGGTATGAAATCAATCTTGAACCGCTATATTTCTTATCTACTTAAACAATGGAATCACTGAGATATTCCACTGGAGTATTATTTGTCCAAGTAATAAGTATCACCTAACCAGGATACTTCAATAGTAGAAGGAATTACTATTTTGAAAGCCAATATTGGTAAGCTGGTTACTTGAATGTTTCAAAACCAGATAATGACACACTTGCTCTAGCAAGCAGGGATGGAGTTTTGCTTTTGTTTCAAACCATTCAGACGGGTTAGGAGATGACTAAATTGTATCTAATTGGTGCAGTAATTCAGACAGTAGTGTATTATGTATAGTGCAGTGCAATGTGTATGTTCGTACCTCTGCCATGGCTGCATCCCTGTGTTCCTGCAAAGACAGCACCTCCCTTCGCAGACTCTGCATCGTCTCGTCCCTCCTGCATAACTGAAACATAGCACACATGTCACACGGGATTGTCATACATTTCGCCGTAGCCGGTCCTACCACGCGGAGTCGGATGAAAACAGCTCCCCTCCAAGATAGCGTTCGGCCTGCTTCGATTGAGTAGACAAACAAAAAGTGAAACAGAGCGGATGAAGACTAGCAAAGCCATTATAACGTCGAAAATATCCAACACGTAATCATTGAACTACTAAGCGAAAAGGTATGGCGGGACTCGAACTACAAACCTATGTCAAACATAAGAGTGCAATTACCTGCATAATGACTCCCTCCAATAACGAAAACAACTCAAGCCATACGAAAGTTGCACTTAATCTAATAATCGATTTGATAACACTTGCTAATCTCAAGAAATAATCTCCCCAGTTTGACACTTCAATCACACAACATAAAACACGGAGGCAAAGCTGAGTTTCGCACCACTTGCAATACACAAAAAAATTGACAACACGCCAAAAAAAACACTTGAAATTTTCAAATGTATAATTCAAACTGAAGCTCATTTTAAAGAAAAGATGTGGCAAAAACTAACAGCCAGAACTGAACTAGCTTAAAAACTTCGCTTTGCACTACACATTGCGCTACAAAATAGTGGAAAAAAAACAGTCAAAAAAATTCAGAAAAATTAAGTTGAAAAAATAACTTGATAAGGTGGAAAAACTACAGCTACAAAAACTTCATGGTTGCATCGAATGAAATCTTCGATTGGAAATCTTTCACCGAGCGGCCACAAAGGCGACAAGTTTTGGGTCGAAGCCTGTTGTCGTAAAAAACTAAATTACGCAATATAATTTGATTAGGCCGAAAAAAAGATGTAGTAAAAAAACTGTGAATTGGATTAAAACAAGTTTTAAAAACTCAGCCAGTAAAAAAAAAATCAGATAATGAAAATTGATCAGCATTTGATCTGAATAAGGAGGGCAGGACTAGCGAGTCTCAGTGCTTGTCATAGTCATGACTTTTGTTACCTTGAAATTAATTGATTCCAAGGTCCAAAGACTTTCACGTTCGAGAACTAGATTTGAGAATTTGATATTCATGGAAATTTACGCGGATTACTCAACTTTTGTCAACGTGACTTCCAAACAAACACAGCGAACAAAAGTGAGCATAAATTGCATGAGGTGAGCCATACGTTTCGTTTACAAATTTCAGGTAAATTATTGTTAAGACAGTAACCACATCAGAACTATGAAATTACAAAAAATTCATGTTTTAAAACAAGTTTTAGACATTGAGAACGTCTTTTTCTATATTTTCGGCGGGTTCTACATCGAGAGCCAGACAACGCGAAAAAAAAGTACAAAAAATTTCGAAAAACAAAAAATTGAAAAATAAAGTAAGAAGGATTGAATACGAAATAAAATCCCCTATGATAAAGTTATAAAACTAATGTAACCATGCAATTATGCAAAGATGTTACAGTTTGGACCCAAGTTAAACGCCAAACTGAAACATCTTTGTCAATTTGTATGGTTACCTTAATTTTACATATTTATAAAAGCGGATTTTATTTCACCTTCTATCCTTTTTTCTTTATTCTTCAATTTATTGTCTTTCAAACTATTTTGTTCTTTCTTTTTCGTGCTGTCTGACTCTCGACATTGAAAATTGATCAAATTTTGTCAAGAATCTGACTTCTCAGTTGAATACGCTGATTTGAAGAATAAATGTCAAGTTTCTCTATCAAGTAGACTTCGAACTTTGTGCAACTGCATCGAAGATCTTGACCGTATTCGCTCTCGAGATCGCTTGTCTGTACAAAGCAACATTTTCGAAAACCTCTAGATATCCCATCATTCTAGATGGCTCAAATGACATCGTCAAGTAACCCATGAAAGCACCCATATAGTGACAGTCATTCTGGAAAGGAATAAACGCGTAATTTTCTAACGGAAAATTACTGGTATCCTTCGCTAATTGTAAGGCAGACTATAAGAAGCTGCCTATCTTGTCGTAGAATGTTGCAGGAAGTTTTAGCACCCCCTCGGCAGACCTTCCCAAAAGATCGATTATCGACGGCAAATCATTATCAGTTTTACACTACTGGACAAGACTTTACAGGACCTTTCCCTATTTACGACAACAACTACTTCTCTTCATCTGTTTGGTTGTGCGCACGGTAAACTTAGAAGTATCACCTAATTTGTCTACTGATAGAACAATACAAGGTATCAGACGTTTTGTTTGTCGGCGGGGAAAGCTGACAAAATTCATATCGGACAACAGATCTTCTTTTGTCAGCGCGAACAAGTTTTGAAGAGCTCAGTAAGCGACTTTGCTCAAAATTCTGATATCAAAGACAAACTCACGCTCATGGACATAGATATAGAATGGTTTTTCAACCCGCCAACCGCGCCTCATTTTGGTGGCAGCTGGTACCGACTAGTTCAAATTTTCAAATTGTCCCTCTATAATGTTATCGGTTCTCAAACACTGCATGATAACACGCTGCACACCCTCGTATGCAAAATCGAAACCGGCATGACCTGGTGTCCTTTAAATAACGTTCCTACGGGCATAAATGACCCATTGCCGCTCACACCGAATCACTTCCTTCTCGGTAGGCTATCAATTTATGTACCCCCTGGCGTACTTCCGGACAAATCAGTCACTGTTTCCAAATCATGGAAAAATGCGCAACTTCTCACTCAACAAATTTGAAATTGTTTCCTTCGTGAGTACCTTTCAGAAACGCAAGCTCGGACAAAGTGGAACACGGCCGCCAACAACTTGGCAGTCGATGAGCTTGTCTGGCTGGTAGAAGATTACACACCACGGCCTTTGCCTTCTCGCTAAAGTTCTCGAGGTTCACCGAGCCAGCGACGGAACAGTAACACCAGTGACAATCCCGACTCATGTAACCCGCTTATTGGTAATCAAATAATATATGTAACTCGCTTATTGGTATTATGCAGAACCTTTGAGTAGGCATCATGAAATATTTAACTTTTGAAGCCAACACACAAAATTGAGAAAAGTGCGATAGCTCAAAAACCAAATAGTTTCAGAAGGTCAAGCTTCGAGCAGAAATCTGCAACCTATTTTTTTAATATTTCGACGATGAAATATATCAATTTTTAAATATAAAGCGAGAGATCTCCGAACTTTCCAGAACTAAGGTATTTTTAAGTTTATGAACAAGGGAGATAAGATTTGCAACTCCTTGGAGTGCCCTCACAGTATCCACCTACATATTGAGATTCAAAACTTTTGAATATTTTTAAATCTCTAATTCAACATATGCAGCGAGATTTTTGAATATCATAAAATCATAAAATATTTAATTGCAAAATGATAATCAATATAACAAACACCGAATACAAAACAAACAACAAATGTGGGATGAACCATTGAGGATTGAAAAGAGAGGGGGAATGCACTAACAGCAAAGGAACAAAGGAGCACCAGAATTGGGAAGGCAAAAACGTAATAAACTGAACAAGACTAGATGGCCCGGCTGACATCTAACTTTTTAAATCTAAGTTTTCTGAAAGTTTTCGAAAAAAAAACATAAAAAATGTCATATCTCGAAAACTATAAGGATTTGAGAAGTGAGATTTGGGGGCAAAATTCTCAATCCCCGGCAGCACCCAACTACAGTGTTTGGAATATCGAGTTTTCTTAAATTCAAGTTTTCTAGATACTTTTGAAAAATCTCGAAAATTGCCGTATCAGTGAACTAAAAACGATTTGGTTATTCATATATGGAGGCCAAATTCGCAACCCCTCGGGAATCCTTATAGCATCCCACCATTAGGTTGCTAATTTCAAAATTGATGAAACAATCCTCGACCTCAAACTGAAAAACCGAAAAAAAATTCTTAACTATTGCAATATACCTTGAACGTGAAAAAATTCAATCGTTAAACATGCAAAAATAATACGTTGAAAAAGCTTTAACATGGAGAGATAGTGAGGTCCGCATTTAAATAAATAATAATATATTATTCCAAATTTTCTGATAAAAATGGGTTTTTGCATCAAAAAAATTAAGGAGCTTGGCACCCCTATTCTGCAATGAAGCGTATTTGAGTTTTTTGCCCAGAGATTGGTTTTTGAAAAATGGGGGAGATGACGTTGAATTATAAGCAAATTCATTTCTGATGAAAAGCTTGTTCAAAAATTATTCGCATGAAGATTGTTGGAGAGGGAATCCCTAAAACACATGTATGAGCTTGAGACATCGGAAAAAGATACGAAGCGAACGTTATAACCTAAGCCGCAAAAATAAGGGTAGAATATCGCTGAGACGAACAAAATGATATCATTAGAGCTTGAGTTACAAAAAAATGAATGAACATTTACATAATCAAGAAAATATTTTTTGCCTCCGAAAACATCATATTATGTGGCAAATTAACAGACATAGAGCATGCTATATCTTTTAAGCCGCAAAAAAATCGGATATTGTGAATGGGAAAGCTGTTCACGGGGGAAAATTATCTGTTAGCTATTGCAAAATTATTGATGATTTTAATGAAAACAACTTATTCGCCTTGGTTAACGCAATGAAGAAAAACTTAAAGCCATCATTAAGGTTACGACAGATACCAACAATTGGAATAATTGATGTCAAATCAAACAGACCAACCTCTGCCTTCAGGAGATCTTTGTTGTTATTATTGAGTGAGGTGGCTTCCCTTAATCTGTTCTGAAGTATTCCAATCTCATCCACTGCTTTGGAAGCTTCATTTCTTGCATTGAGGAGTTCCTCTTCTAAGAGCTTGATTTTTCGCTCCTTCTGATCGAAGTCATGATGCTTTTCCATAATTTCATAACCATAAGCAACTGTAACAGCGCCAAAAACCAAATCAAAACAACCATAACAAACGGAGGTGACCCTTTCGTTAGCGACCATCCGTAGCGGTTAAGTCGCATCAACGCTACAAAAAATGCAAATTACAATAGAAAAAAGGGGTAAAAAAAATGGGTCCTTTTGTCATGCGACATTCCGTGCACACGTTGGATAGGGTCATACCAACGCAATATGTATACATATGTGAAATCCGACCACAATTTACGAAAATGCAAAGTCGGAATTCGAAATTTTATTGTGACATCCGAGTCGGAAAATTAACGGTTTTAACAAAATACTGGTCTTAATCGTTATTTTGACGAATGCGGAAAGGGTTAATTTGAACTTTCATGTTAATTTTTGAAAGAGTTCGTTCGAAAAGAAAGACACGTACCAATGTCTAAATTTCGCGCCAACTGAAAACTGTGAAAAGAAAACAGAAGAACATCAGAACTCGTGAAAAAAGCAGTAAACGGAAATTGTGTGATAGTGATAGAGATTGAAAAAAACTTAACGAGCACCATTCCGAGTTTTAACGATTGTGCCGATATGTACTTCCGGGCAAATGTTACAAAGATTTTTTTTATGGCACTCCTGGGTGCTATTCTTTTTTAACATCATGACCGGCAGAACCGTTAACGAGCACTCCGCGCCAAGCGGATGCTCAAATGAGACCCTAACCACCGAGGCGGAAGGGTACTTCGGAACGTGGAAGCTTTCCGGAATCCCGTTAATAGCTTTTTAACCTAAATAAGACCGAAAGTTCACGCACCAGGAAGGGTGGGGGGATTGGCCGTCCCGTCGTTCCCTGAGAGTTTTTTGACCAAAAACACTTAAAAATAGGCTGAAAACCAAGCCAAAAAATTTTGTAGTACCTAAAAAAACCAATACACAAATAAAACAACCGTAAAAAAATATATAAAATCAGTAGAAATGATCCCCCCAGACGAGATGCGATCGAACCCTCCCGTTTGTTGTTGTTAGATATATTGTTGTTACAGGCATTTATTTCAGTCAGGATCATTACGATCAAATTAGTGGCCCGTTTGTGCTGCTTGTACTGTAGGGTTATTTGAGTATTTAAGCACGTTAATGCTATTTTGCGCTCAATCCAGAAGGATCCCGGGATTATAAAAAAAGACTGATCCGGCAAGCAGTGCAAGGAACGACAAGAAGGAGCCCAAGGATAACAACAATCATTTTTTGAGTATCGTTAACGAATTTTGTATCTCTTTTGATACAAAACCTAAGATACCAATCTGTTGGGGATCGACAGTGACTGTGTAACATTCGTCTACTGCAGTCACACATGAGGCTTAAGAAAAATAGGCCCTATAACCACTGGCTCAAGGGTCAGGGACACCATCTCTTGTGTTTTTCTACCTCAAGAACGGTCGGAGCCAGTTCGGTTCGTTTGTGACATGAGACTACGACCCGTTACAGCTTAAAGGCTACTACTAAAATATCCCCCCACTCTAGAATTAATAACGTCCCCATACTCAGGTCTCTAGATACCCAAAATACATGAACGCTGTTAAAAACCGGGTTGGAACAATCCGTTAAGTTACTTTTTATTAGACAGTGTAACTTTGATCCATTTCAGATGGATCAACCTAAAACTCGCCTTACCTCAACATAACAATCATAAAACACACTCTAGGAATTTAAATTAAGTACTCACATTGTAGCACGCTCAAGAACCAGGAAGTAAATAAGTCGGTAAGCAACTCAAGAATTAATAAAGTAACTAAAATGAGTTTAATGTTAGTCAGTTTTAATGGCAGAGATAAGTTTGAACTCTAGACTGTAAGTTCTCGTGAACCATTGGGACACTCTAGCTGTCCACCTTTCCACCGAAGGTTCACTCTGGTCCAGTTAATAATAGTACTCCAGTCACAACAATCTAGTTCGTGGGAATGCGCTCGTCTCTGTTTCAGATGGGACAGCTCTACTCTCGATTATTATTGCTAGTGAAATTGCAAATAGCAATTTCCCACTGATTTTTCTAGCAACTTTCCCGCGATTGTCACTCGATCGTTCTGACTTCTCTCTTCTGATTTTCAGTTATCGCGAGAAAATCGTGCATGACATGCTCCATTCGAAATTTTGAAAAATTAAATTTCTCTCCTAAATCAAGTGTTTTTTTGTTTCTCTCAAGGTCAAACTTCCAAATATGACCGACTGGCACATACTCCCCGGACTCGAGATCGATGTCCTCATCGCGTGCTGTCTTCTGCCAGTGAGTCCCAGAAAACCGAGTGTTACTCAAGATACAGTGCCAGTGGTCATTTACAGAAGTTTGCAGCAGACTTAAGCTTATCTACACCCCAAAATTCACAGCCATGTAAAATTTTCACACTATCGCTAAACAGCAATCAAAATCTGCACACACCTGCACCCTCGAATTCTCGCTTTTTAAGCCAATCATTTAAAATTTCTTTTGTCCCATTTAATCAGGAAATTGTCATGCAGTATTTCCATTTATATAATAAATATAGTATATTAATAACAATATTTGCTTTGTTAAAACTTCTTTTTCGTGAATCCTGGTTTCACCCGGACCCACGCTCAAGCCCCCCTTTCCCTCTCAAGACTCAAGATCCATTCGAGCCACCAGCTCATCTCGCACTCTTCGCCTTGGAGGTACTGCACCCTGAAGTACTAGATACGGCAAACTGTCTCAACAGTTCCTCTTCATCATCGGAGCTAATCACAATCTCCTCCCAAGCCTTCAGCTGTTCGTAGGATCGCATCCATTCTCTTTGCTCTTGCAACCTCTTTGCTTGGTTGGGTAGTGCCTTCACCCTAGATTCCCGGTTCAAACAAAAGGAGTTGTGCAGGCTCAAGCTCACGTTCTTCGCCAGGTCCTCCTCTAGTATCGATTCCCTCGCCTTGGTATTATCTCTAGACATTTTACCCACTCTCTTCCATCCTGTCGTGATTGCATTACGATGGGTTAACAGGGGTCTCTTGAAAGCTTCCGGCCCAATCTCGGCCTGGAACTGTCGATACTCCTTTCGATGTTTTCTCATGTGATCTTTCGTTGTCATGTACAACCAGGACGTCAGCGTCGCCCGAAACCATGGGAAGTACCTTAAACGGCTCCAGACATGTCTGACTTCCGTTGGTATGGCGAATACCTTGCACGCAGTCTCAAACAACTCGAGTCTCCTACTGTAGTCTATCGCGTGTATTGATTCTGCCGTTGGCGTCCCCGCTTCCCGATACTTCGTTATATTCTCTTCTATCTATCTCAGAGCCAACATCGTACTCACTACCAAGATCGTCACCTTCTGTCGGTGATCCGGTAGTCCGATCGACCGGATTTCTTCCATATCCCACACCAGGCAAAGGTTCTTGTGATCTGGATACCACACCGTTTGCGCTAAACAATGGCATGGGCATTCTCCATGGGTGATTTCAATGCTCCTGAGGTTACGCTCCCCCGAGGCTTCCAAGAGAGGCTCAAGCTCCATCATTTTCTCATGCATCGTGTCGTTATCTTCCAGGTTTGGAGCACTTCCCACAGGTTTTCCGATCACGTTTTGTCTCTCGTGATCGCTTGTGTTCTCTCTCTCCAACTTCAAAAGTTCTTCTCCCCAGATTTCACTCAAGTCATCTCTCAATTCTTTTGGTACTGTCCCTCTGATTTTTCTCAACAACTTGTGCGAGTGATGCGATACCCGAGCCAACCTCACGCACTTGGGCACTGAGAAGGCCTTGTCCACCAGTACTCTCTGGCTGGATGCTTCCACCATCACCATGTGCAGTGGGTAGTGACTTCCGCACAAGTTGGCCATCATTGACCCTATCAGCGATTTCGCGTTCAATGGCAAGCCATAAGCTTCGCTCATGGGAAATCCCATTTCCGCCTCGAGACCAACCTTCCAGCTCCGGATGTGTTTTTGAGTCACCTGCAACACCCCGGGCCATGATTCTACGCTCAACGCCGTCACTAAATGATGTTCAGATTCTAGTCTTTCCAGTGACTGCAGACTACACATTCTCGAGAAGAATCCGAGAGCTGTCGCTATATTCACCGTGGTTCTCGCGTAACACTCCGCTACTATTTGCACTTCTTTTTTCTCCCTTTCTGTTATGTCTTCGAACCAAGTGACCAGGTCTTCTTTTTGAAATGACAGTATTCTAACGCATGACCGTCCATCGCAGATGTGCTCTCCGTTTCCACACGTCGAATCCAGACAGCTACCCGGCTCCAATTTCTTTGCTGACCCGGGATTACTAGTCTTTTCGCCTGGCTCTTGCATCTGAGGTGAAATTAGCTTGTGCAGCACACTCAACTTTGCCAGATCTTCATCTTCCGTTGGTGCTAACCTCACTCGCTCGGTGATTTCTTCGATCAGACTCGCGTGGGGATGTGGACACCAGGAGGGTCTTAATAGTTTCCATACCACTCCCAAGTTCGTGATTAACAAGCCATTTCCATCGCCCATGTTCACTTCAACTCTCTTGTTTGAATGCGGTATGCTCACCACCTCTGGTGTTTTCTCAAGAATCAGGCCCAGGCTCGGCCCCTCTTTTTCCACCGCGTCTATTTCCATTATTCTTTCTGTCCAAAACTTCAGTAGCTCCGCTACCTCATGGTTCCGGTTGGCGCCTCCAGCTTCCGAGTCTAAGAAGGGGTTGTAGGCCATTCCCATCACTCCAGACACATATTGGTATTCCCCCTTCTCGCTGATTCTCGAGTACTGCTCTGACGAGGCCAGGTTACGGTGAACATCATGTTCTTCTTCGAACTTCTTATTATAAAACCTCCGTACCTCGTCTAGCTTCCTATGGTTCTCTAGGGATAGTCTGGAACCCTCTTCCTTTTCTATTCCTGTGCTCTGATACACGTTCAAGATGACCGTTGAGACTCTTTTTTCCATGGTTTTGCTTGCGCTTGCTCTCTGTTGGCATGCCAGGATGGTGCTATCAGACATCATCGACATTATCCATCTCAAGAAACACGTGGCATCCTTTCTTCTGGCCAGG